TTTTGGGACGCCTACCTTTCTGGGTGCCTAACCCGGTTGATGGCAGACATAGAATGCTTCCAATTACACGGGGGTTTCTATAGGCCATTGCTCCCCTTGCCTCTCTAGAAGGGGCCAGGTTCTTGCTCGTGGTCCCCGGTAGGCTCATAAGAACTCCATACACATGACTGATGCCAAAGTCTGACATTAGTATATCAGACTAGTAAGCTCCGGGGAGCCTCCGGGACTCGCCCAGAAAATGGCGCTTCATTACATTCAACGCTGGTTTTTTATGACGTCTTCAACAAAACTGTTAGAGAAGCCATTGTTGACTAGGACCTGCCTTACCCTACAGAGTTCTTCATTGACTTGCTTCCATCCTGAGCAGTGGCCGAGAGCCCAGTCGAAGTAAGCGTTGACAACACTCTTGTACCTGTCTGGGCAGTCACTATTGGCATTGATGATTATTGACTGTGCCAATAGTCAATAGTGACTATTGGCACTGATGATTATTGACTGTGCCAATAGTCAATAGTGACTATTGGCACAGTCACTATTGAGGCCAATAGTGACTGCCTAGACAGGTAAGTTACCTTATGATGAGTTACCTCATCATAGGGGTAACTGCAAGGTAGTTGTTCATTGTGGGATAAGTTCAAATTAAAATTTTGCTCTGTGAAATTAGCCAATACAGCATGAGAAATATTTGTGTATGAATGGTAACACTCATTATGTGGTTCTAGTTCCATTTTTATGATATATGTAAAAGGATTCAACTTTATAAGGAAGAAATAGGTAAAGCAATATATTATTTTTCATATTAAAAAGAAAAAAAAAGAATCTCAAATTCCTCCTGCAGGCATCTACATTTGCAATGAATCCTTCTCTCCAATGAATTGGGGGTTAGTCCCATATACAGTAGTTCAGTAGTTCGTTGAATCGAGGTTGTACTAATGGTTAGTCCCATATACAGTAGTTCAGTAGTTCGTTGAATCGAGGTTGTACTAATTGTAAATAAAATACCATTAACATTGTACAGTGGCACCTCGATTAACGAGTTTAATCCATTCCGGCACCGAGCTCGTCATGTGGAAAACTTGTCTTGCGAAACAACAACAAAACTGTCATAAAAGGTGTCAAGAGAACCAGCGGAAACGCTCGTTAATCGAGGAAAAGCTTGTTAGTAGAGACAAATGTTCTGCGAGTGGCTTGCTCGTTACTCAAAATGCTCGTAGATAGAGCCGCTCGTTAATTGAGGTGCCACTGTACATTAATAGTAAATGTTATTAATTTTATTTGCATTAGAAGTTTAATGTGTTTAAACTAAGGGAGTGTTTAAAATTAATGATATTTCTGTGGAGAGCCCAGTCGGCTCCCTGAAGCTATCCAAACTGATGTGTATATTCTAGTTTGGGGTCATCAGTCACAGGAGTCCTTTTGCCTACCGGGGACTATGAGCCAGAATTTAGTCCCCTAAGAGAAGCGCTGGGAGCAATGGGTTATGAGCACTTTACATTTAAAATGTCATAATTACCATCAACCAGGGAAGGACCCAGAAAGGTAGGTGAATCAAAACAGACCACTGCCTGGTTAACCTGTGCAATCTATGTCTGAAAAGATCAAAATAACTCCCCTAGAAAGAAACCTAACAAGCAACACTTCATGCAACTAGCACTCCCGCTCGTTAGTGAGTTAGCGATGTCGAAGGTTGTTCGTTACCCCTGCCTAAGGGAAACGATCATTCGCAATGCATCCGTCACGCTTCCTGACCAACCCTAAGTCTTGTGGGCTTTGTTATAGCTCGGAGTAAGGCTTGGGTGGCTTTGGGGGCGGCTCCTTCCAATTCGGGCAAGGAGGTGGTTGAGCCTGATTTTCCCGCTGAGGCTTCTGGGTCAACCCAGCAGACTCCCTTCTTGGAAACTTTTTCCCTGGATGCCACTTTTTCTTCAGGGGTGGTGGGCATGGAAGAAGGCTCTGCCCCCGGGGCCTTTGTTGGGGGTTCCCGGGGCCTTTGTTGGGGGTTCCCGGGGCTCGGGGGGGGGGGGGGGGTGGGTCTGCTTGGAGCGCCTGGGCTCCTCCCTGCTTGGACTCGTGTCCCTCCTGAGCAGGGGTTGTTGCTGCAAGGGAAGGGATTTTTGTTCCCTCTTTCCCTTTCTGATTACGTATTGCCGGCATGATTTACGCACCCTCTCGTTTGGCGCATCCATCTTTTACTTGGATGTTTTGTACGAGAATTTTTTTTTTTTATATTGTATATATTAATGTAACGACTCTATTTGTTTGGTTCATCATACATTTGGTTTATCATACATACAGAGGTTTGGGAGGCCCTTGGCACGTACCTCCTGTGAGACCCGGTTTACGCCTCTCTGTTGGATCCGGATTTGTTTGAGTTTAGTTCCTCTTACACTGATTGGGTGTGTTTCGAGGTTCCGGTGTTTTCCTGACTGGTGTGGGCTTTCTGCAGTCTTGATGGTCTGCTAGCTGGAGTCTGGTTCTTTCCTAGGTTGCCGGATTCGGGTTCCTGGTAACTTGGTGGAACTCCCAGTTGGTCCCATCTCCGGTTCAGGCTTGGCTGGGCCTAGTGTGGGGTTATCGGACTGCGTCTATTTCTCTCCCTCCTGCGACTTTGCTCCAGTTGCTTGAGCAGCTGTACGGGAGTACTTTGCCCTGCTGATTTATCCGCTGGGCAGGATTTGGCCTCGGAGGCTGTTCTGGTATCTCTAGAGCGACCTTCTTTGCCGCTCTCGCGATCTCGGGGTTCGTCGCCCAGTGTCTTGGTGTCAGTTACTGCATCTCCTGCTTCCTCTTGGGCTTTTTTGGAGTTTAGTGTCATGGCGCCTTCCTCTCTTCCCCTTGCTTGATGTGTTCATGGATGCCTCATCTCTTGTTTGGAGCTTTGTGCCCAGCTCTCACCAGGTTGACAGGGGCGTTGGGCACCCATGCACAGTGCGGGTGATGGCAGATCTAGCTTCCTTGGGGCTCGGTGATCCAGCTCCATTCGGACTGCTTCCCGTGATTCATTGTCTCAACCAGGGGAGTGGGGGGGGGGGGGTTTGTCTCTTAGGTCTGTGGCTTTGGGGCTGGGCGCATCGGGTAGCTCTACTGCCGATTTCTCGGGTTTAGCTCTCCACGCCATTCACTTTCAGGGTGTGTCCATCATCCTAACAGATGGCCTGTCACGCTTCATTCCTCTTTCCTCGAAGTGGACAGTTGACTCTGCTTCCGCCTTTGGCTTTGTCGGACGTTTGGGTTCCCAGAGGTGGACCTCATCGCGTCGGCGTGTAGTTGGCACCATTCCCCCGACTGCAAGGCCCTCACCTTGGATGCTGTTCGGCAGGACTGGTTGTGGTGGGGGGGTTCCTGTCCCTCTTCTTTCTGGTCCCGTTGTTACTGCAGGTTCTGGCTCAGCTGGATTCATGTAGGGGGCGAGTGGTTCTCCTGGCTCCACGGTAGCTGGCTCAGCCTTGGTTTCAGGCGCTGCTTACTGTGTACGAACCGGGGAAGTTTTCTGCGGCTCCGCCTCTTTCAGTAGGTCAGACCTGTGATGTACAATACCTCACAGGATCGGTATCTCCTGCTTATTATTGTCACTTTGTATCGCGTGGCGTTGGTGGAACTGCTGCTGCTTGCGTTTGAGGTGGATTGGTGGCGTTTTTTTCATCTCCATCCTGCTCATGCGCTGCCTGAGCTTTCTTGGTCTTTAGACCACGTTCTTTTTTCTTTTTTCCTTTTCTTTTTTCTTTTCTTTTCTTTTCTTTTTCTTTTTTCTTTTTTCTTTTTTCATTTTCTTTTTTTTCTTTTTTCTTTTCTTTTATCGCTGTATCCTGAACCCTTTGGTTCAGGAATGCTTTTGGAAGGCCTTGTTATTGTTGGCCTTCTCCTTTGGGGGTTGAGTTGAGGAGCTTCATGCTCTCCTCTGATGCTAGGGGTTCTATTCGTTTGGTCCAGGTGGTCATTTTGCTCGTTTGCAACCTTCTCTTTCTTTTCTGGCATAAAATGAGGTTGGCTGGCTTCCGGAGGGGTCCTTTGGTTGTAGATGCTTGGTTGGTTAGTTCAGGGGTGTCACCGTTGTCTGGTGGTGGCTTTACGCTACCTGTGGGTCACTGGTTTTATGCCGCTGGACGCGATCTGGGTGGATCCCGTTTCCTTGGTTACCTGTTCCAGAGCTTGTATGTCTTAGGTTTTCCACATTGTCATGAAGTCTAGCGAACCTGCGGTCTATCCTCGTGCCCATACTGTTTGGAAGTAATGTATGCTGTTCTAGCGACAGTTTTTAGCAACATATCATGGGTTGACATTCAGGCGCGGGGGTTTTGGAGGTCGAACAGTCCTGGCCGCCAGGTATCTCGTGCGTGTTTCGGGTTCCTTCCCAGCCGTGTGTGGCTTTGGGGCTCCTGTTGCAGCCATCTGTCTCTTCCTTGTCTTGAGACCTACAGTGCTGCCACCTCCTGGGTAAAGCCCTCCTTTTACTTATCTATGGATAGTTAGCTTCAGGGAGCCAACAGTGTTCCCCATAGAAAACCAGCGTTGAATGTAATGAAACGCCATTTTCTCGGTGATCCCCGGAGGCTCCCTGACACCCTCCCTCCCTTCAGTCAGCGGTTTTCATCATTCAAGAACTGAAGTGGTGGGAGGCGATAGTGCTAATGAGCGAGAGTGCTAGTTGCCCGGAGTGTTGCTTGTTGGGTTTCTAGGAGAGTTTTGATCATTTTGGATGTAGATTGCACAGTTTACCCAGATAGTGGTCTGTTTTGATTCGCCTACCTTTCTGGGTCTTTCTCCTGGTCCATGGTAATTGTGACATACTTTAAATGTAAAGTTCGCATATAGGTCATTGCTCCCTGCGCGCCTCTCTCAAGGGGCCAGGTTCTGGCTCGCAGTCCCCGGTAAGCATAAGGACTCCTGTGACTGATGACCCCAAACTAATATAACACACATCAGTTTGGATAGCTTCAGGGAGCCTCCGAGGCTCACCCAGAAAATGGCGTTTCATTACAATAAGTTTGTTTTATCAACAGGTTTGACTTCACAACATGTAGGATGTTTGTTTTTGTCTCGATCATCGTTCTCTTTATGTTTGGCCTCCTAGCAATGATCATCCGTAACAACGTGAGTACACTCTTAATTAAACTTTAGTCTATTTTCTGGTATAATTTAATTCATTTCATTTATTCTTCATTTGTTGGTATCACAGAGATTGTGTATTGAATAGTTTTCTATATATCAACAAGAGAAAATGAATGTAACAGTATGATTTTACATCTTTATATTAAACACAATTAGCAAAGTTGTTACGTGAATGCAGTACTAAATATCAAACTCTCTAACTTGAGGTAAGAGAAAAAAGTGTTATGGTGGCTGTGCTAGTGTACTTCAATAAGTGTCTATATACATAATCAGCTGATGTCATCCTTGGTCACCCATAAATGTGTGTGTAAGGGTATGCATAAACCCTAGGACCTCCAAAGTAATGCAAGTAATGTTCAGTCTCGGAACAAAAACATTGCTGCAGGTGGTGAAAAAAGGAGGATGTTTGTTAGCTTGACTCTGTCACAGTTGATACCAACGTATCCTTAGGGAAGGAATCCGCCTGTTATCTATTCTCTCTCCTTGGTTAGGTTAGGTTAAGGTATGGTTAACTTAGATTTCATTGTTATTATACTATATATTAATGTAACCTATTGTCCACAATGCAAAATGTGATATTTGAAAACTATTTGTGTACCTTGAATTTCGTTTACAGAAAACAAAGTTCTTCACAGTTTCATAGAAAATGTTTTCAGCATACACATTTTAAATTTTAAACCAAGTATTTATAATACAATAAAGTTATAACACGAGACTAATCTGTTTAGCGCGTTAGCTGCGCAATACTCAAATTGGCGATGGGAGTAACCTGCACCGCATTGCGCTCATTGTACATAGGCTATTGAGGGGCCCTGCACAAGATTTAAATGTCCAGCGGCTACACGGGGCTCACTTCAGCTTCCTCAGGGCTCTTGTAAACAGACGCCATTAAAAAAAAAATCGTAGGCAACATTCTCGGGTGTGAGAGCCTCGGTACTGAGTGAGCAACCAAGGCTGGCGCACGCAGCATGAGTTAACAGCATCGCTGTTCAGCTTGTGACCACAGCATCGCCTAAAAAGTCAAAATATATATGTAACTGCTATTATTTAGCGATGATAGTATTACACCCTTGACTGTGATAAAAATTACCAGGATTCTGATAATAGCAGGATTGTGGTGATAAATAGCACTGTGCGTAGTATGGTGTGAGGAGTAATCTTGGTGAGGGAGGGAGTTAGTGTTGTCTGCTGACTGTGTGGCCACCTTTTATTGTCTGGACTCACCATACCAGCTTAGTGGTTCACTATGGTGAAAACAAATTTAGATACTTTATATATAACGTGTGTATATAGTGCAATAGCAGCAAAAGGAACATGTTGGGAGGAGCCATTTTGGTGAGGGAGATGGCATCATCGGCATTACTTGCCATGCTGTATCAGGTGGCCACTATGCAGTTTGGGCATCATACCAGCTTAGTTGTATAGTTATGGTGAATAAAATATGTAGATACTTATATATAATGTGTGTGTATATAGTGTAATAACACCACAAGCAGTATGGTTGGGGAAGAATGTTGGTGCATCTGGCCTTGAATGAGTGAAGGAGGGAGGGAAGCGTCAGCTGTCTGCGTGTGGCAACCTCTGTTAGTGTCTGAACTCATCATACCAGCTTTACTCATTCATTACTTCAACTCATTCACAGTTATGGTGAACAAAACGTGTAGACACTTATATATAATGTCTGTATATAGTGAATTAAAGCAAAAATACTATAGTGGGAGGTGGATGTTGGTGAGTGACGTGTTGAGGGAGGGAAGGTGGCGGTGTTGGCAGGCTGATGTGTGGTGGCCACTGGTTGTTTTGGCTCACCATACCAACTTAGTGGTTCGTTATGGTGAACAAAACATACAGATACTTATATATAACCTGTGTATATAGTGTAATAACAGCAAAACTATTTGTTTATTTTATGAACATCATAATTGAATCACTAATATGCACATCACACTTTTGAGTATAGCAATGATTCACACATTTTATTATATAAATATATCACACTGCACACTATTGAATAATATTACTGCAAAAAACTAAGAAAAATCAGAAACATTGAAATATAGTAATTAGGTAATATCTTTGAAGCAACTCCCACCTGACAGCTCAGGCGGAGCTGACAGCCTCCGACGCTTGCTCTATCAACGCCTACAATATGCTGGACATCCTTGCCCTATTGTGGCCAAAATGTCACCTACTATTTTGTTTTTATTTTTCCCATGGTCAGGGAACACAAATGAACACTTTTATAAGACAATTTTTTTTCCCCCCTGGCGCACAGCGGTGTTGACTACTATTAAGCCTATCGCGGCTTAACCCTTAAACTGCTAAGGGGTCCTGAGGAGATTTACACCCCTGTGTGCAAGAAAAAAAATTCTAAAAAATTATTTCGTCTTCTAAAAATGTTAATTTGTGTTCCCTGAGCACAGGGAAAAAAAAAATCGTAGGTGACATATTTTGGGTGCAGTAGATCGAGGAAGTCTGGCAAAAAGTGGGCGTTGACAGAGCGGTCGTCAGAGCCGGTCAGCGTCACCCGAGCTGACAGGTGGGAGTTGCCACAAAGATATTATCACTTAATTATTTCAATGTCTGATTGATTTTTTCTTAGTTTTTTTTTTTTGCAGTAATATTATTCAATAGTGTGTATTGTGATATATTTGTATAATAAAAGTGGTGAATAATCGCTATACTCAAAAGTATGGTGTGCATATTAGTGATTCAATTATTATGTTCATAAAACAATAAGCAAATAGTTTTGTTGCTATTACACTCTATACACAGGTTATATATAAGTATCTGCATGTTTTGTTCACCATAACGAACCACTAAGTTGGTATTGAGAGTCGAAAAGCAACGAGGAGTGACTGCCACACACAGCCAGTCACTTGTTGCCACTCCCTCAACAATGCCTCACTTGTCCACTTTCTCCTCCCACTATCATGTTTTATATTTTATTCACAATATACAGACGTTATATATAAGTGTACATGTTTTGTTCACCACAACTGTACAACTAAGCTGATATAGTTAGTTCAGGCACTAAGAGATGTCGCTACACAGTCAGCTGGCAGCTGCCTCCCGCACTCATTCAAATTCACTCGCACTAAAATTTCTTCCCCAACAATACTGTTTGCAGTGTTATTACACTATATACACATTATATATAAGTATCGACATGTTGTATGCATGAGTACACTCTTAATTAAACTTTAGTCTATTTTCTGGTATAATTTAATTCATTTCATTTATTCTTCATTTGTTGGTATCACAGAGATTGTGTATTGAATAGTTTTCTATATATGCATCGTAACTGTATACCTAAGCTTGTAGAGTGCCCAAAGAGCATAGTGGCCACCCTCTACACAGCCAGACAAATCATGCAGACAATGTCACCTCCGTCACCCAAGTGGCTCCTCCCAACATAATCCTTTTGCTGTTATTACACTAATACACACACTATATATAAGTATCTACATTTGTGTTCACCATAAGAGAACCACTGAGCTGGTATGGTGAATGCAGACAATAACAGAGGCCACACAGTCAGTAAATGATGCAATCTCCCTCCGTCCCTCAGCATCACTCCTCCCACAGTGCTAATTATTACAACAAACCTGCTATTATCACAATTCTGGTCATTTTTATCAGTCAGGGGTCAACTGTAATATTGTCATTGCTAAATAATAGCAGTTATACTGCATATTTATTTTGACATTTGTCAGAGATGCTGTGGTCACAAACTGAACATGCTGTTCACTCATGCTGCGTGCGCCAGCCTTGGTTGCTCCAACAGTACTGTGGTTCTCACACCTTAGAATATTGCCCATGATTTAAAAAAAAATGGCGTCTGTTTACAAGAGCCCTGAGGAAGCTAATGTGAACCCTGTGTAACCGCGGGCCATTTGAATTGTGCCTGGCACCCTATGGCGTATATATACGCCATTCGCATCGTGGGACATGTTACTCATGGCATATATATACGCCATGCGCAGTTTAAGGGTTAAGGTAAAGGTTCACTTGCCAGTTTACAAGTAGACTATTACTGGAATCATGTGTTTTCAAACCATCACAAATATCTAGATAATTATTCAGGAAGTTTGAGGAGGGGGGGGGAGGGGTTTGGTCTCTCGTGGTAATAGATTTGCTCTGAGGATGAGCTTGTCGATACATACAGGGGTGAGGGCGATTACAGGAGGAGGATAGGTTGTTGCATCGCTTTACCCAAGTACAGTAGTTGACATGTCTGCCAGCCTTAACACCTGGGTTGTGCAGCTATTATTAGCCAACAATGCCGCCGTTCACACAAAAAAAAAAAAAAATTCCAAATGTTTTCTTTCACAGTAAATATAATATATATTCCAGATTTGTCTTCAATATATATATTCATGCAAGATATATAGGTATTAGCACCATTATTGAAAATATTAGTGAACATTTATAGGTTCTGGAGTGTGAAAGACTCCATGAAACAGTTCATATGACAAGAGGGTGCATTGCACGCTTTGCACCGTGTTAACACATTTTGTCTGTTGCCTTCTTTGTGTGGTCTTACAAACAATGCACTCGCATTGGCCTAGTGCACATTTTCCAGTTGTGGAAAATTTTCTGTTTTTTGTATTTGTAAGGCCTCCTTGAAAGCCTGTCTTTAGCAGTGTGAGGCAATGTTGGGTTCAGAATGCCTTTGTATATGACAGAAATGTCTTTGATGAACTTTATTAATAATTGTTAAAACAGCAAGACTAAATCCATGCATTATTGGTCTGACATGACTTCACATATACATATTGTAACTGTTCAGCATGGTTACATCAGCTAGGTGAAAAACGTCTAATTGATCCACTTCCCTGTTTTACGTACGTACTTGACAGCACCAACCATCATGTCACATTTATCACCCAAATGCATCTTTGTTATAGTCCATGACACAATCTGATTTATTACATTTGCTCTTTGGTTACTTTCTTAACCTTGCCACTGTTCACCATTGTACCAGTGTGAATGGGTTTTCAACATATTCATATCTTGCCTGTCTCACCAATGCACTGATTGTATTTGATCACTTCTTATAACCTGGCCATCACCTACTGCAATAATACAGTACTGCCCAACACTGGCATTTCCCTTATTTGTAGTTTTACTGTGCCACACATTCCAGTTCTATTTTCAAGCAAAGACCCTGGTTAGCAAGGGACTGGTATAATAGTTGTCTTTGTATAAAATGTGGCCCTTGTTCAGCCATGGTGCCATCAATGTCTTCACTACACTACCTGGAAAAATCATGTGGATCATTTCTGGGAACATTTACATTGGTACTGTAGTATAATAGCTTGTGTATGACCATTCCTGTTTCACAATCACAGAATACAAAGAATTTTAGTCCAAATCTGTAGTATTTGGAGGGAATGTACTGTTTGAAGGCAAGAATCCTTTGAAATGCACAAAAACGAGACATAGAGAAGGTTTTTGATAGTAAGCTGTCACCAGAGGAACACAAAGAACATTGTGAGAGAAGCGTATGCTTTGCTTTCCAACTTCAGATTTGCTTTTAATTAATTACATGGATGGTGAAATGCTGTATCATGAACAGAACAGCATATTCTGTTCATGACTTTTGTGAGACCAAAATTGGAATATGTAGTAGTTGAATGGTGTGCAAATCTCAAACACATAAATGAACTGGAATCCAACAGTATGCTACAAAATGGCTTTCGGAACTGAAAAACAAGAAGGGGCGGAGAGACTGGGGGCGTTAAACATGCCAAAACTAGAAGATAGAAGAAAGAGGGGATATGATAACCACTTACAAAATGCCAACAGGAATCGACCAAATTAACAAAAAGGAATTCCTGAAACCAGCAACTTCACGAACAAGAGGAGACAGATTCAAACAAAGGAAAAGGTGCCGAAAAAATATTAGAAAGTTTTCTTTTGGTAGACAGAAGTGAGGTGTGGAGGCTAAAACCATCAATAGTTTTAAAGCGTTGTATGGCAGAGTGCTGGAAAGTGGGGACACCATGAGTGTTGCTCTCATCCTGTAACTACACTTGGGTAGTTACATCACCCTGCAATATTTAAAACTCCTTCATGGTAATCACCACTTAGGTAATTACCCTGTAGGAGTTTTAAATGTTGCAGGGTGCCTAAAACATCATTGGATGATAAGGTATGTGCAGCTGTGGGTCGATTTTTACTAAGATAATATGCACGTTGCAAGGGTTAAATCCCTTTATGTTCATTTATAGTGCAGGGGTGGGAAGACTCATGCACAAGTTGGATGGCTTATGTTGATTCATTTTAGTATTACAATCTGGTTCGTTCTTGACTCAAAATTGGAATTCCAGGTTCGAATTACTGGTGGGACAAAAATAGTTGGGTGTGTTTTATATCAACTAGTGCCCCTCTCTGTTCACCTTGCAGCAAATACATACCCAGGAATTAGTCAAGTTGTTGTGGGGTTGCATCCTGGGGAGGGTTAGTAGTTCAACCTTAGGAAGGACCTTGATAGAAGCCTGTCATGTATATGTACGCTAGCAGCCTGTCCCTTGTGACACAATAAATTATTATTGTTTATCATTAATATTATTATTTACTCGGTGACAAAGAGGGGTTGAGTGCTGTATATTTGCCTATAACTGAACATGTGCCTATATTGTATGAAAATCTGTGCATGACATAGCTCAAAAGAAATGCCCCAGAATACACTCCTTTACTGCTATTCTATCTGGGAATGTTGTCCAGGGACAGATTCAGACACTGGTGGGAAAGACCAACTTGGGATTTGACTGTAACCACAGGATGCAGGTGCATGATAACCTCATTGCATAGTAAGCAATTTTTAAACAATCACAGAATTTGTTCATGGGGTCAAGGAATTATATATATATACAGTATATATTTGCTAAGGAACAAATTATACGGTTGTGGTTAGGGCTTGCATTATAGGTTGTACAAATTATAATTGTATCCCGAGAGGTAGTAAATGAGTCTCTAGCTTTTGTTAGGAAATTTGTCCATATGGGCTTTGCATGTTTAGTTCTTAAGTTTGTCAAATGTTTCACTCATGAGTATATTGTAAGAGAACTTTTCTTCATTTGCAGATCTTGAGCATCGTGTACTCCTGTATTGGCGCATTGCTCTTTTCCTTCTACCTGGTGTTTGATACACAGATGTTAGTTGGTGGAAGTCACAAGTACTCAATCTCCCCTGAGGAGTATGTCTTTGCAGCCCTCACTTTGTATTTGGACGTGATCAACATATTTATGTATATTCTGTCCATCATTGGCCACAGCCGCAGCTAAACTTTTCAGGGAAACTTGTTAGTTGTCTACTCTGAAAATGCAGTAGTATTCTGGAATAACTTGTACTACATTAAGCTTAAATAGTAATGCCAGGAAGTTTCAATTACCCAATTGTTGGAAAGTAAACAAGGTTATATTCAAGTAGCTTCTGAATAAATCACATGATCTGAAAATAGGTATTCCTTGTACACTTGATCCAACTAAACCTGGCACTTTAACCCTGGCTACTTTTTCCTTCATACGAAGGATGTAGATCGTTCCATGCATTATTATTGCTTTGATGGCTCCCGTGTTCATTTTATTGTCAAAATTGCACACTTTGTAATTTGGTGTATGAACTCATGATTTAAGTCAGAATCATAAGTCATGTTGGTGTGAAGTGTGTGGTTTGCTGCAAGAAGCAACACTATAAACAGCTTTACTTATTTTCTGAGAAAGAGAGTAAACGAGAGCATTTTGCATGAATTATAGACCGCTTCGTTGATCACATGTCGAAGATGTCTTGTAAAGCTCTGCAAGTCCCTCACTTTTACACACCTATAATGAATTTGAATGTTAGAGTAGCCTTTTTTTAAGGCAATATTAGTAGCATCAACGAACCTGCAAGTACATGGACAATACAGTAGTTTTAATTTTTTTTTTTTTCGCTGTGGTACTCGGTTTTAGGCTTGATAGGTTGAGAATTCTGTAATAGTCAAACACACATTTGATTGACTTCATCAAAATTGTAAGTTTTATTTAATAAATTGGATGGTAGTGTGAGTGCATGGCACAATTGATTCGTATGCACATCATCCCCAGGAATAGTCTAGAGAGCAATAATGCTGAGGACCCACTAACACAAGTATGCCATGTTTAGGTTGTGCTTGTTAATGCTACTGGTACTGTGCTGCTCAACAGGTATTGTACTGTACTGTTCTACCGGTATTGTACTGTGCTGCTCTACCGGTATTGTACTGTGCTGCTCTACCGGTATTGTACTGTGCTGCTCTACCGGTATTGTACTGTGCTGCTCTACCGGTATTGTAATGTGCTGCTCTACCGGTATTGTACTGTGCTGCTCTACCGGTATTGTACTGTACTGCTCTATCAGTATTGCGCTGTACTTCTGTACTGGTATTGTACTGTACTGCTCTACTGGTATTGTATGGTACTGCTTTACTGATAGAGCAGTACAGTACAATACCTGTAGATACAATACCAGCTGTACGGGTCGACCGGTATTGTGCTGCACGGGTCGACCGGTATTGTGCTGTACGCTACAGTTATGTAACTTTACCTGCATTTGAAAGTGAACTGTTCCTCTTTTGGTTATTATATGTACTATTTTCAGGTATAGAGACAAGACATACAGAAAGACTTATCATTGGAAAATATTTAATGTAGTGACCAAAGTCCTTAATGCTACTGCTGAAGAAGTCTCGCTTCATCCAGGTCGCTGTTCAATCCCCTACCGTCCTAGTGGTTGGGCACCATTTCTTTTCCTTGGCCCATCCCAAATCCTTATCCTGACCCCTTCCAAATGCTATATAGTCATACTGGCTGAGAATTTCTTCCCTCTACCAGTACTGTGTTGTACTGTACTGCTCTACCGGTATTGTGCTGTACTGCTCTACTGGTATTGTGCTGTACTGCTCTACCGGTACTGTGCTGTACTGCTCTACCGGTACTGTGCTGTACTGCTCTACCGGTACTGTGCTGTACTGCTCTACCGGTACTGTGCTGTACTGCTCTACCGGTACTGTGCTGTACTGCTCTACCGGTACTGTGCTGTACTGCTCTACCGGTACTGTGCTGTACTGCTCTACCGGTACTGTGCTGTACTGCTCTACCGGTACTGTGCTGTACTGCTCTACCGGTACTGTGCTGTACTGCTCTACCGGTACTGTGCTGTACTGCTCTACCGGTATTGTGCTGTATTGTACTACTAAGTAATTTTACCTGCCTTTGAAAGTGTTCTGTTTTATTCATTAAGTCAGTGTACTTGTACATACATTACATTGTGTGCTAAGGCAAGATTTATTTTGTGTGAAACATTATTTTATTGAAGTATTTTATTTGCCAGTTTGGTTTGTTATGTTAATAGAGTGTACTGCCATATTTTTGTTTTAAGAACATTTATATAGGAAGTAATAATAATTTGTGCAGAATATTTAATTTTGACTTTAAACATTTACATTTATATATTATCATTAATATTTTGGGGAGTTTGTTTCATGTAGAGAATTATTGGTAAAATGTGGAATGGCTGAAACAGTGGCTGGGAGATGGAACTAGTCATTCTTAATGAAATTGAGCTCTTACAGAATTTTGCTTTTAGTAGAGTGTCTTAGTAGTCCATTTTGTCTTTCCTGTCATTTGTAATTAATACTAACAATTATCGCTCTCAGATTTGTACATGTCAAGAAAAATGATAATGGTGGACATGAATTCAATGTGACTTATAAAAGAAACTGGTAAAAAAGTGGCAAATGCTTTTTGATAGTTAAATACAAGGCTACATGAAGGTTAAAACAATTTTCACAAACCTGGCATTACCAATACTAGTCTTAATCCGTGACCAGTAGTGGGAGACATGGTCTTAAAAAAAAAAGTGGCCATATTCAAAGAATTGCCAAATTTGCCTTTTGAATATGTGGATATAATTTAACTTTACAAATGAATCATTTGTTTCTCCGTTTTTGGTTTTATATATATATATACTGTACTGTATTATATTCAGGTATAGAGACCAGGCATACAGAAAGACTTATCACTGGAAAACGACCATTTGGTCACTACTTGGTCCGGGAGACATCTCCCGTCACGCAGGGTGCAGTTGCGCCTCCACAGATCTCCAGTATCATCTTTTGATACTGGTAATGGCTCGAAAGGGCCACCACTTACGGGCTATTCATGCCCGTGCCACCTCTTGGGTGGCTTAATCTTCATCAATCAATCACTGGAAAACATTTAATGTAGTGACCAAAGTCCTTAATGCTACAGCTTAATGTTTAGCAACTGTTATTACTAAACATTCTTGTATGCAATGTTCTGTTGCATTTTATCCATGCCCGACAACATCTCTAGCAGTCACGTGTTAGTGACTTTACATATATAGGGTTATACAGTAATATAAAACCATTAAAAACGGTGGATGCCTCATGCATTATGAATAGTGTGATTTGAGACTATAAACAAGGAGTCGGTAGATGGCAGGCATGAGCGTGTGCACTTCGTACAGTATTTGTCTAGTCAATTTTTTTAAATATTTATTGCTTTGCATTATGCTTTTAATTTTTATTTTTTTTAGGTAAATAACTTGGATGGGTTTCCTGTAATATGAGTTAAGTGAAAGTGTTTGAAGTGTTAGAGATATGGCATTTATTGTTACGGTCACATGTTCATTAGATGAAGGTAAATTCAGATGGAGTTTGAGGCTGTAGCTTTATTTTTTAAGGTTCAAAATATTTGTTTAATATTCAGATTTGCTGGTTGGTTTTGTATTGTCTCTGCCTCTACTTGTAAGAGTCGCATAAACATTGTGTGACAAAGTATACTGGCATTATTTGAGCATCATTGAATCTTATCTTTGCCTGTGTGTGTGTGAGAATGTGCCTCATTGTCATTTTCCCAGCACCAATAAAATACCACAGATATGCTTAATTGGAATAAAAATCTATTGAAAATACAGCAATGGTATTTTTTGATAGAAACAAGTTTGTCAGCTATTAGTGTGTTCGCTAGTTGAACACTGGGTACATAATTGTATTGGGGTATGTCAAATTAAAAACAGAATTACAAAGTACAAATAAAGAGCACATGTGAGGGAGAAAACAATGAGGGGCAGGAAGTGGAGAGTTGGTCGTAAAGGTATTGTTTGCTAATTCTGTAAGTATTAATAGCAAAGCACAAATGAAATCACGAATATGTAATGGGTATATAAGTATTAATATGAGTATTGTAAGTATTGAAGCTGTACGATGGGACTGAACCTGCATACCTGAACTCCTCTGGAATGGTGTGTGGCACACACATCATTCCAATATGGTCTATACCATAATGTAATAAAATGATTTCGTCCAGAAGTACTACATGAGTTTGGAAGGCACAATACGGTGCCATAATACTGTAAAAATTATGAGTTCTGTCTACACTCAAGTGTTGGTAGTGATGAAATATGGTATGGGAAATAGAGCTCCCAGAATACTCCAGGTGGTGCCTTCCAAATTCCATGTGAGTATTTCTGGTTGAAATAATGTTATGCCCATCATGATCTAGGCCAGGGGTGGGGAACCTGTAGCCTTCTGGCCATAAAGTGTGGCTTTCTCAAAAGTTGAAATTTATCAAAATCCATTTCTTTTTTAATGTTTATATATATTTTTCACATTTATAATTGTAAAAATAACATAAAACAAAAAGTACTGCTAGATTCAGAAAGTATTTGTTTTATTTTTGCTGTATTTGAGTATTTAAATACATAAGTTCTTTTGCAGCTTTGACTATAAGCCAATTCAATATAAAAAAAATGTTACAGCATATTATTATCCTACTATTAAGGTGCAGCCCTATGAAATCTTCCCAAAGTAAAATATGGCCTTCATATGAAACAGATTCCCTACCCATGTCTAGACAATAGTACGGGTTCCTAAGAAGTTCAGGTATTGCGGGTTCGATTCTATTGTACAGCTTCAATATTTTCTCATACCAGAAAATATTGCAAGGATGAGAATGTAATTAATGTAAGTCTGTGATTAATTGCAGGAAAGTAGCCTGTTCAATTCGGTATACAGTGGAAAATGCTGAACACTATTGTCCCCAATGATATGAATTTAAATGTACCTACATTGAGTTTAAATGAGAACCTATTGGAAGTAAAAAATACAGAGGTATAGCTAGATGAAAGTGAGCTTTGTTGATATGTAGAATATAAAGTAAATTATTGTGAAATTTTTAGTGATATTCGTCCATCTTAAGTAAGTGAAAGTTTCTAAAATTAACAGCATGTTTATCAAAAAAATTGTTAATGTACTGTACTTGTGTGTGCTCTTGCCGAGATTAGTGTTAATGTGCTCTCTTGGTTTTCCCATTGGCGGGGACAGGAAGCCTGTACTTAAGCTTATTGAGGTTCCTTTAGGTTAACTACTGATCTTCCCCAGGATGCATCTCACAACAGTTGCCTAATTTTTGAGTACCTAGTTACTGCTAAACGAACAGAAGCATCGGGTGAAAGGCTCAACAGTTTCTACAGGGGAGATCTAGCTCGGGACCCTCGGTTGTGAACCAGCAACTGGGCTATATGACCCGTGTTTCTCATACAAGGGTGTCCTTGATTCATGTTGGGGGCTGGGCTCCTGGATAAATGTGAAAATCAAAAGCTGCAAATCAACATTAGCAAACAATATTTGGAAAATACGTGCTTAGTTTTCAAACACTATAAAGTCTGCTATTGACAAAACCTGCATTTTAAAACCTGCATATTAACATTTTACACTTCAATCACATTCCAGTTACAAATTCAGTATATAATAGTTAAAAATGCATACAATGTAGTATGGTTCATAAATACAACTAAAGCATATAAAACACAAGAAATAAACTTCTGTGGTGGTGACCCGACTCGCTGCGTAAAATGTGTTGGACCCAGTTGTAATTCATACTAGTCCACGTTAATGTTTTCGTGAGCCGTGTAACTGCAATGTACACATCAACACATTGTCGATACGCTAAATGTGCTTACCTGCACAACTAAATCTGCATCACAAAGTAATGAACTGTGCAAATTGCATACTGCGTGTAGTTAATTGGCGAGTAAATTCTGCATGAACTGAAAAATTCCATAGCAAAGTAAAGATTACAGGCATCTTGATCCTAGGCCTTCGGTTCACTTCTGGTTCTACACTACAGGTAGTTGCATTATTCAGCTCACAATAAGTGATATCCATTGTACAATATTTCATTAAGGATCTGGTGCAAGAAATAGAATGCATTTCAGGTCCAAAAATATGAATACATAAAACAGATTAACTGGTAAATGCATGTGCAGTATGTACTCAAGTATGTATAGGTTTGCTAACCACAGTTTAACTCGGTACTCTCAACATTCTTCCTTCTGAATACCTCGGGACCAATTGCAATTGGATGTGTAGTCATTGGTGTCTTGGATGAGTGCACTGTACTGGATGAGTACAGTACAGTTTTGTACTACTGTACTACAAAATATTGGTACAGTACAGTAATACGAAAACAATAAATATGAGTACTCCACCAGTGTTCAGATGTTTCTCCACATACGATCTTGGAATGATGGCTAGTTAAGTATGGTGGTATTGAGTGTGGAGGTAGATGTTTAGGGCTGAGATTTTGAGGGTTATATGTAGGAGGAACACAACCAGGCTTCAGTTTGAGTTCTTGGAAGCCCTCTCAAAAGTGTCGGTGTTAATTGCCTCAAGACACCTGCATTTTTGAAAGTGTGTAAAAAAAAATGCGAATGATTCCTGCATGCGTAAAATCTACTAAATGCCACCAGACTCTTGAGGATTGGCATCAGATCTTCTCTCCAAAACGTTTAAATGGTTTCAAAGCTTTTCTCTACCATTGCAATGCTCGCTTGAGTTGCTCTTTCTTCCTCCTGATGAATCTTCTGAAGCCTGCAAATTTGTCTTGCTATTTTCTGTCACCAAATTAATGATATCAGACATGCTTGGTGCAGTAGGAACATCTATATCACACTCAATCCCTGCATCCACTTCATGATTGGCTATGATGAATTTTCTCAGTTGTTGGGACTTTGTTTATTCCTTTAACATAAGTAAGAAGTACTTGTCTTAATTAATTTAATCTCACTTATTTTCTTTCCACCAAATCCTTCAAAATCTGTAGCATTGTCATTATCATCAGGTTTGTTCCAGGCATGCTTCAAGGTTGATTGCTTGACTATTTGTGTGCAATACACCACACAATTGACTATAGTAATGTTTTCATGAAATCCTTGATACCCTTCTTTGCATGGAGTTGTCTGGCAAACTTGGTTCTGAAGTAGAGTTTGAGGTTCAATTATTTCTTGATTGGAATTAGATTGATTGATGTGGATCAAAGAAGTTGTGTTCGGTGGCAGAAATGTACCACACACATATTGCCCATAGCTAGTTCATCTTCATGTAGATGTGTTGAACTATTATCAAGAAAGAGCATCACTTTGCTGTTCTGTCAAGCCAATGCAGTGAAAATGTTTTTTCACCTCGGGGTACGAAATCACTTAAAAACCATTCACTAAAAATGGCTCTAGATATCCATGCAGTGGGTTGAGCATTATAAATCATAGGGATAGTATTCTGAATAGCTTTAAATGCCTTTAGATTTTCATTTTAGCCAATAACGAGTGATTTTATTTTGTGTGCACCAGCTGCATTTGCGCAACAAAGTGCAGAGAGCCTTTCATTATTTGCCTTGAACCCAGCTGAACCATAACTTTCATCCTGGTGAGCGTATAAATAACTGTCTAATATACACCAGTACAAGCTTGTTTCGTCAGCGTTATAAGTTTGCTTTGGAGTGAGGAATCATCCTGCATGATTTCAAATTTCAACATGCATTCCTCTGAACCATTTGCATCAACAGGTTGCTTTTTACCTCATAATTTGTCAAGGCTAGGGAGGGAAAAAATTTACATTCTGAAAGTATTCATTTACGCACAAACCTGCGTGAAACAAATAATTGGCTGTTAATCCATTTACGGTAATTGTTTACCTGGTGTAAAAGTAGTGTCTGTTATACATGTGTTCAACCAGTAGTCTGTTGTAATAGTAATTCTAAACATCATGAAAGAAGAAATCATACAAGTACAGTACTATAGTTTCAAAATGATGTTGCACCAGCTGGAACAAGTTTGGGGAAATAAGGAAAGAAAGAATGTTGAATGTTTTACAAATTTAAGACATTAATACACACATAATGTGGAGTTAGGAAACGTGTCGAAAATCTAAGTCTAAATGTATAATTAAAAAGTACAGTAATATAATAAGTATGAGAATATGTAATTAATGTGTTTTATTGTAAAACATCGTGCATAAAGTGAGTTGGTATAAATATAATAATGATGATTTGCATCGGGCCAACTTAATGGTGGTGCACATGTTAAAATGTAACTTGAGAAAGTGATTAAATAGTCTTCCCAGCTTGGTGCCTTCCTTTGATAATTACTTTAATAAAGTGGTGAAAGCTGGAGGAGGAAGAATGTTAGAAGGCAATTTATGGGTGCTTACAGGTGTATATGAAGGTGTTGTACATATTGGTACACCATGTGACCCACATGGACCCATCATGCTCCTTCCCTCTTCTCCAGCCCCATCTGAGCAGGCAGTAGCTGGTGCTTGCATGAATGTGTGAAAGGATTGGAAGGCTCCGTACTCCCTCTAAAAATAAGTTGCCCAGAATGGAACAATGGAGTTTTATATGCACTTAGTAATTTTGCCTTAATTTTTTAAGGCAGAATAGTTATGTAAAATTGTTTGGTTAATAACTTGAAAATATTTCTTGTGAAGTTTTGAAATGATGATGATTGAAAGGTCTGGGGTAGATTGTTGTGTGCACAAGGCCATCCCTGGAGGATGGTTCCAGGGGCAGCAGAAGAGTGTGGTAGTGTACATGCAGTCAAGTTGGTGAAACATAAAATGCTTTAAAATGGTTATGAAATATCCTCCTTAATATCCATGGGAAGAACAGGATTTATAATTTAGGTAAACCTTTGTGCCATACTGCATAAAGATTGTACAATAAAACTTCAAGATAAATTATATTAAATGTTAATATTATAATAAAATTTGAGTTAGTGTCAATCCTGCTTATCGAGTAAATTAAACATATTCAGTATATTGTTCTATTTGTACATGATTCCATTTTAAACAAAAATACCTGCATGTTTTAAACAAAAAAAGTTCATTATTGTTATTATTTGCTAATACTTCTTCTGGCCCCCTTTGTTTTTATCCCTTTTTCATTCCATTTCTTAAGAAATTAGGTATAAAATGTATGTAAGGTGCTTACATATTTAGTCCTTGCATTAACCTTTTCTTAGTACCCCTAGGGTGTTGAAACATCCCAAACAAACAATCCAGCCCAAAAAAAAAAAAAAAAAGCCATCACGATTCCAAGCTAATTTAGACTCGCAAGATAGTGGAATGTCAATATACATGTATGTTAATTGGTTCTAAAGTAGAGTTAAGCAAGATGTGTTAAAAAAGCTGAAAGATTGTAAATGTGTAAAATACAAAGAACAGTAGTAGTACTACAGTACTATGATATAATAATGAGAATACAGTACAGTGGAACTTCTGTGTAAGATTGCCACAGAATACTAATTTTTCAGTTTGCAACAACAATTTCGTAGTAAAATATGCCCTGATGTACGACGTTTACTCTGGAGCTCGAATCGCTTGATCATACTTGTGTGGGTAACACACGTGGATTCTGCGGGGCTAGGTACAATCAGTTTATCTGTATATTCCACCTAGGGATAACCATACTTGAATTCTCTGTGAATAATTTAATTGTGTGTGCTTTTTTCTCGTTGCTGAAAAGTGACGTTCTTAATACATATCACACCTTGGGTCCCAAGGAAGTCGATAGCAAAGTTCAACTTAAGAAAATAGTTAATGATCAGACAGACTGCAAATTTATGCTGAAAATACTTGCCCAGATAAAGCTGTAGAAAGCCGTTGTGTTAACCTTTTTTTTATGACAATATGATGTCTTACTACAGACAATTGTTAAAATGTAGGCAAAAACAAGTGTCTTTAGACAGATTCTTATACAAGTAGTGAACCACAACCAGGCCCTTGCAGTCGCCAAAACATAGGAGTGAGAGAGAGAGAACCCCCAGAGATGTTGTCACTGCCTGAAATGAATGAAAGTGGACTTCCCATTTTAAACACTAAAACACTTTCCCTCCTCACCGTCTTCTATATGCCAAGAGTCCTCAATAAAAGTTAAGTGCAGTAAAAAATACGAGTAGTACTCTGTATAAAATGTATTTTTTAGTCGATATTTTTGGGTATGTGGAATGGATTAATTAAATTTATATTATTTTTTTATGGGGAAAAAAATTTGATATGGTGTGTGAATATTCAGGTTACGATGCATTTCTTGGCACGGGATTTAATTTGTTCCCCGAGGTTCCACTGTACAGTATATATAATTAAAAGTAATTGTAACTGAAATGACAATACTGTTTCAAGAAAATTCATGGTATTAATGTATTTTATAGAATGTTTCATTAGTTACTTGGATTTACTGTATAGGACATATATTTTCGTACCTAATACAATATCTGGAAGTTAATGTATATAAATCTACAGTATTATAGTATATATGAGAGGAAAACTTATGACATTCCTTGTTTGTTCATATATAAGTGTGCATATGAGAGAATATATTCAGAACTAAAGGAAATAAATGCTGCTTGTCTGGTTGTTGGTTTATTTGTAGTTTAGTATTGTTACGATTATTTTTGACTGATACTTCCCAAGTATTTAGTGCAATCTTTCAGCTCATGATGATGATGATGTTTTCTTTTAGATATGTGTAATCATTAAAATCACAAGTGTAATTCACCCTGTAACTATACTTGGGTAGTAACAAGAGAACGCGAATGCGTAATAGACGAAAGGTTACGTATTGGCCCCACATGCCGAACTTTCAGACTCTTAATGAAACAAAGATCTGCCCCTTATTGTCTGAACTCCATTGTCCATACAGTAGCACATCTCATAGAATGTCCTGATTTTCAGGATGATTGGGAATTTTGATTTCTAGTCTGTCACTTGTCCTTTGCTAACGTCTGTGATGACTTCACATTGCTTGTCTCGTGTCCATTTGCTTTCGTTTTGGCGTCTTGGGTGATGTCTAGGCTCTTTTGTTACTGTTCCTCATCACAGATGGTACTAAAGTCTTCCAGGCTTGGTGCCTTCTTTTGCTAATTTCTTCTGGATCAGATTATGTTCAAATGCTTCGTTGGAGCAGTTAAAATTAATACATGTAATGTTAACATGTCATTGGAATGCAGTGTGTTAATAGCTAATTTCAGGTGTTGTATTGTACTGTACTGTATTAAGATGTAAATTTTAGGCATATGCTTTTGCAGGATTAGAAATATAACTTTTTAGAGTAAATATTTGTTTGATCTATTTTGTGGTGTTCTTTACATGCAAAATTACTGTGCTGTATACCGGGTACTTTTATCTTTGCCAATTGTAGTAAAGTATACTCTTGTTCGGAGCCACATTTTTGTATTGAAAGATATTTGGTACTCTGCAGTGTGTAACTTTCTATGCTGGAAAGTGAACTTGAAACATTAGATTGAATGATTTAGTATTATAATTTAGTTTAAATTAAAAAAGGTAATGAATAATGCTGGCTTGAGTCTTTATGCACAAAATGCTGGCTTTGGAAAATTTTTGAACGAAGCTTAATTAGTGGCTTTGTATGTTACCATAGTGCTAATGGTTAATGCATATTTCCATGAAGTATTGATAGGGTGGGTGGTTATAGTGGCTACCTTTTGATTTTTGGTTATAAGATTGATTAATGTAGATCTGTACCAGAGTAGAAGTTAAGAAGAAGCCAGTACAAAGAAATGAAGTTAATTATTTTTTTGAACTAAAACTAAAGAATCTCATAAAAGCATCATGGTTTTCATAGATGTCGACCATTGTAGCGTATAAAACTACATTTTAAAATTTATAAATAGAAAATTATAATTAAACCAAAGATTTTTGCAGCAGCGTTTGTGAAGGAAATTGCTGAAATTACTGAGGTGACTAACTTATTCATTAACATACAATAAAATATTTTGAAGAAAGATTAAATTACATTTAATTATTTTGGTAAGACATATATGACACATTTGAAATGCTTAAATATCACTAATAAACCAGAATGCATAATTTTTTGATATCTTAAACATTTAATGCTCATAATTGCAGAAATGTGAACTACACATTTGTAGGGCTTTGAAGAATGTTGTACATACAAGCTTTGCTCAGTGTGTACAAATAGTGTACAGTTATCTTGCAAAATTCAAGTGATATTTGTATCATCAAGCATTTTAAGTAGATAACTGAACTATTAATTTCCTTAGATTCACATATTTATTATTTTCACAATACTAATGATTGTAGTAAATTATTTATCCCTCTTTACATAAACTTTAGGTCTTCATTTACAAAACATATATCAGTCTTCTTTAAGTTTTTTTGTAAAAGTTAAAACTATCAGATTTCTGATTCTAATTGATTACTGTATAGAATATATTCATAATTCTTTTAGTCACATCCTTAACTAATAAATGTTTATCTTTAAATCAAGAAATATTTTGAAATAATTATTGGTATTGATAATCACAAGTGTCTGGTGCTGATCGTGCTGTAGTGAAATTATTCCCTGCATTTGCAGTGCTTTGCTAATGAAGTACCTGGTGCAATGTCTTCTGCAGTGTTTTTATAACACGAAAACATTATATGCGGTAATCTTGTGTTCTAGTGCGTATATATATAGGGTTACTTTTTAATATTTGCTTGATTATGGGAAACTGGTTACTGTTTGCTTGAGTGTTTATAAGAGTCCTGCTATGCAAAATGTGATTTTCCCGTGTGTTAAGTACAGAAATCAAAATATAAAAGTTCAATCTCTTCACTATTACTACTATAGTAAGATTGTCCAACTATATCTGGAGAATTTTTGTAAGGGCTTATTAAATGAATGTATGGAAATACACACCGCATTTGACGTTGGCACTGAAATATTGTGTTGAGCATTTAGAGGTCTTTTAAAGGCTTTGCCAAATTTCCATGGTGTTGTTATTGCCAATGCTTTTTTCAGTGGGGAGCCCCTCTGGCTCCCTGGAGTTATCGGGCTAATATGCGATACATTAGACCAGGGCATTAGTCATTGAAGTTCTGCCTACCGGGGACCACGAGCCAGAACTTGGCCCCCTCAGAGGCACAGGGAGCAATGACCCCTGGAACCTCCCTCCCCTTGTGGTTGGGGTATTCCTTATCTGCTGTCGACCGAGGTTAGGCATCACAAAAGGTAGGCATAACAAAACAGACCTCACATAGTAAGAAAATTGCAACCTAAAACTGAACAGAGAGGGAGAACTCCCTCAATTCCCAAGGAAACGAGTAAACATCACACCTCTTCCTCACAGCCCTCCCTCTCCTTGGGAGAGGGTGGGGGAGCCCTGAACTCCCACCCCGGCTACCCAGCAATTTCAGTTCGTTGGCTAATGCGATCTGGGGTAGTCGTCAATTCTGATCTCGGTTTCCTGGCAGTGATTTGCTTTAGTGGTGTGGTGGCCAGGTGTACTTAAGTGTACCGGGGTGCATGCGCTTACGGCAGCCTTCCTTAAGTGCCCTCAGAGTACTACCCTTGGGTGTCAAGGTTCTCCTCCCTGGTGCTTTCTGGATGCTATTTCCATAGGTTTTTTTGCTGCTCAGCATTTACCTCCCCCCCCCCCTCGAGGCCAGCTGAGGTTTCATGGCCCTTGTTTGGCTTTGGATAGGGAATGGCATTGTTGCTGGTTGGGGCATCAAGGTGTTGCGCAGCCAGCTTACCTATGCAGCGGCCGGTTCCTGTTTTCTCTGGGGACGTATTTTTGTGAGGGTTTTCTTTTACTTCTTGTTAAGGTTGCCTGGTGTGGCTGTAAATATGTGACTATAGGACCACTTATATTTTAGTGTCCCTCCGCTAGGCCCCCCCCCCACCCCCTGTGATTGTACATGTCTCAGGAGTTTCAGTGTTTTGATCTTCCCCCTTGTTAGCTTTGGGTCTAACTGGTTCGCAACACCTTGCCCGGGCATCCTGTAGCAGTCAGCCTACAGGCTCTGGAAAACCCTGTCAGGGCTCAGTGGACCTATGGATGCGTCTTCCGAGTTCCAGCTCGCCTCGTGGAAGTTTGAAGGTTGCAATGTGCCCTTGTCTCAGGGTGACAGTCACTGCTTTTGCCTCCGTCATGCTGCCAGTTGGGTCAACGATACCTTTGACCTGGAATCTTGCAAGTAGTGTTCTCTGCATGTTCTCCAGTTTACCCATTCTTATAACATTGATATTCAGGTACAGGCAGCATCCGCGTTGCTTGCTAGGTTTAGGTTGCAACGCACTAGGTTGGTTGCCCACCCGCATGCCCCGAGGCTGCCCTGTTATAGAGACCTAGACTTGGGGGCGTTAGTCGCTTTGACTTTGATTCCATCTGGGCTCCCTGGTCCTTGCCCTGTTGTTCGTCCTGCCCCTCTTTCTTCCCTGCTTCCGGCTCCCAAATGTTTGAGGGTTTCAGAGTCTCAGCGGGTTTAGTTGGTAATAAGACCTGGGCAGTTTTGGGGCTGCCCTATTCGGGTTGGGGGACGGAGGCATTCTAGCCAGTTCCTCCTGCCGAGGCTTCTTGGTTCCACCAGCAGGCCCCCTTCTTTTCTGCCTTTCCCCTGGACTCTGCCTTCCCCCTGGACTCTGCCTTCCTTTTCTTCAGGGGTAGAGGGTATGGAGGACTGTCCTGCCCCGGGTCCTGATTTGTGAGTTCCCAGGGCTGGGGAGGAGTTTACCTGGGGGGCTTGGGTCCCCCTTTGACCCCGCTTGGGTGTTGGTGCCCTTTTTGGGGGGCTTGTTGTTGCAAGGGAAGGGGTTTTCTTAATCCCCCTTCGCTGTATGAGTATGATTTAAGGTCTGTTTCTTCCTGGGCTCGGTTCCCTTGGGTTCCTCGGCTCCTTCCTTCCGGAGGTTTTCTGCCAATTGTATCTCGCCTAAGGAGGTTTGGGAGGTGCTTGCTGCTTCCCCCTGCAAGACCCGAATTCTGCCTCTGTTATGGGTGCGTTTGGAGGTTCCGAAGTATTCCTGGCTGGCAGACTGCTCATTCTTTTCGTTGGGGGCATGGCATGAGTTCTGTCGGACCCCATATGCTTGAATGGCGAGAAACTTGTACCATTCTACTGGTTTACCTGGGAGGGGCGAATTTGAGCGTCTTAATGCGTGCTTGTTCGCCCTTGTGCTTTCTCAGGATGTTGGCCTTGTGCAGCTGCAAGTGCAGGTTCCCACCCTTTTGGGGTCTTTGTTTGCTGAGGACTTGCATACCCGTGGGCATTTGGCATAGGTCTTACGCTTCTTTTCCATTCTCGAGCTGTCCTCGGACTTGCTTGAGGAGGATGTGGGGGCGTTGGGTGCCGGGCCTTGGTTTGGGGCGCTGACTTCTGCGGCTAGGATGTCGGCCGCATTGTAGAAGTAGTTTGCACCAATTCTCAAGGAGGCGGTGTCTCTGTTCTTTGCTTCTAGCCTCGCGTGCCGGCAGGCTGTGTTCGCTCTCTTTGGAATCCGGCTCCTAGGGCCAGGTGGGCCCTGGCTCTTAGGTTTTCATCACCGTATTGTTCGTTGCTGTTTCGTAGCATTCCTTTTGGCTTGAATCTGGCACCTCGTGTATTCATGTGTCTTACCTGGGTCGTGGTGACCCGTTTGCGTCTGCTAGGGGTTCGAGTTCTGGCCTACCTCGACGACTGGCAGGTGAGAGTTCCCAGCCGGTCTACTCGCCAGGGGTTCGGGTTCCTGGTGAACTGGCCGAAGTCCCATCTGATTGCGTTGTTTTGATGCTTGGCCTCCGAGCTGGAGTTGCTGGGTAGCAGGCGTGAGTGGTATGGGACTTCCCCTCCCCCCCCCCCTCCTTGGGAGGGGAGGGCAGCACAGTAGCGAGGTGTGATGTTTGCTTGTTTCATGGGAATTGAGGGAGCTCTCCATCTCTGGTTTTTGGTTGCAATTTTCTTACCACGTGGGGGTCTGTTTTGCTATGCCTACCTTTCTGGGTGCCTAACCTTGGTCGATTTCATATAAGGAAAACTCTCAATCAAAGGGGGGGGGGGTTTCAAGGGCCATTGCTTCCTGTCCCCCTCTGAGGGGGCCAGGTTCTGGCTCGTGGTCCCCTGGTAGACTGAACGCCATTGACTAACCCCCGCTGCGTTGGGCCACGACCTTGCTCCTGGTCTAGTGTATTGTATATTAGCTCGATAGCTCCAGGGAGCCTCTGGGGCTCACCCAGAAAATGGCGTTTCATTACATTCAAGACTGTTTTTTTTTATTAAATATTGTAAATGTTTAAAACTGTGATGTGCAGATTTGCAATTTTGTTTGTATTTAATGCAAATAAATATGATGTGCTTTAGTCTTGTTTTTAATCTTCGAACATTATACGTGAACAACCACTTCATTTTTTCCCGTTATATTTATTTATTTATTTATTTATTTATTTATGCATATACAAGAATGTACATAAGGAATGTGAGGATACAATTATGGTAATTACAGTCTTGTAAAGCCACTAGCACGCGCAGCGTTTCGGGCAGGTCCTTAATCTAAGAAAATTTTAAGGAGGTAAATACTTGCAAAATTTATAGACAAAAAAAATGATAACAGATTACATGGAATGAAAAAAAAAAGATGAGAGAAAATTATAGGTACAGTATATTAAAGCACATAGGTAGCTATGATTGATTGCAATGACAGCTTAAAATGGTAGTTGACAACAAATTGGTAGGCACAATACAGCAGAAACAATATAAGATTGATTGCAATGACAGCTTGAATGGTAGTTGACAAAAATTGGTAGTCACAATACAGCATATGGCTAGCACATAAAAGAAGACAGCAATGAACACAATGATAAGGTTGTTTGATATTACATAAAAATTAGGAGATTGGGTACCACTAGGTACAGAGCAAATTTAAAGCTCAGTGTAGGAAACTAAATAGATGAAGTTAGGTACTTTTTGGTTTTGCTTTTAAATAAGGCAAAAGTTTTACAGTTTTTCAATTCACTAGGGAGTGAGTTCCATAGACTAGGTCCCTTAATTTGCATAGAGTGTTTACACAGATTAAGTTTGACCCTGGGGATATCAAAGAGATATTTATTTCTGGTGTGGTGATAATGGGTCCTATTACATCTGTCCAGGGAGAGTTTCAGAGCATGGTTTGCATTTAAGAACAGGGTTTTGTAAATGTAGTTGACACAAGAGAATGTGTGGAGGGAGTTAATATTTAGCAAGTTTAGAGATTTAAACAAGGGAGCTGAGTGTTGTCTGAAAGCAGAGTTAGTTATTATTCTGATAGCAGATTTTTGCTGTGTGATGATGGGCTTAAGGTGGTTTGCAGTGGTAGACCCCCATGCACAGATACCATAATTAAGATAGGGGTAGATTAGTGCATAATATAGTGAGAGGAGAGCAGAGTTAGGAACATAATATCTGATTTTGGAGAGTATACCAACTGTCTTAGAGACTTTCTTAGTTATGTGTTGAATGTGGGTGCTGAAGTTGAGTCTCTTGTCTAGGAATAGGCCAAGAAACTTGCCATCATTTTTATTACTGATGTTAATGTTGTCTATCTGTAGCTGAATTGCATTTGATGATTTGCTTCCAAATAAGATGTAGTAAGTCTTTTCGATGTTTAATGTTAGTTTGTTCGTTGACATCCATAAGTGGACTTTTTTTAATTCATTATTCACAACATTATTTAGTGTATGTGGGTTGAGGTTTGAGTAGATAAGGGTAGTATCGTCAGCAAACAATATAGGTTTGAGAATATTAGAGACATTAGGCAGATCGTTTATATATATAAGAAATAGAAGAGGTCCTAAGATGCTGCCCTGTGGCACTCCAACGGTAATTGGTAGAGTGGAAGAAGTTGTATCATTGATGGTTACATATTGGTGTCTGTCACTAAGATAGGATCGGATGTAGTCAAGGGCAAGGCCTCGGATTCCATAATGCTGGAGTTTAAGTAAGAGGTAGTTGTGATTAACAGTATCAAAGGCTTTTCTTAGGTCAATGAAGAGTCCAATCGGAAACTCATTTTTGTCAAGGGCTGAGTAGATAATGTCAAGGAGACTAATGATTGCATCATTGGTACTCTTTTGGGACCGGAAGCCAAACTGGCAGGGGCTGAGTATGTCGAATTTTACGAGGTAGGAATAGAGCTGTTTGTAAATAATTTTTTCAAATATTTTTGATAGAATGGGTAGATTTGATATTGGTCTATAATTGTTTATGTCCGCCGGATTGCCTCCTTTATGGACTGGCGTTACTCTTGCTTTTTTGAGGATATCAGGGAAGGTGTGACACTCTATAGATTTGTTGAACAGTAGTGCTATGGGTGGGGCAAGGGCATGGGAGGCTCTCTTGTACACAATGGACGGAATTTCACTGGTGTTCCCTGCCTTGGTTTTTAGAGAGTGTATGATGGACACAACATCTGCCGGGCTGATTGGTGAAAGGAGAAGAGAGTTTGGATAGCTGCCTGAGAGATATGTGTTAATATGTGTCTGAGTCTGTGGGATTTTACTGGCAAGATTAGCACCAACCGATGAAAAGAAACTATTAAATTCATTTGCCATTTCTAAATCAGTTGACGGTATATCCCCATCCTTGTAGAGTTTTATTTGGTTATGTGAGTGTTGTTTAGTTCCTAGGATACTAGAGATAGTTTTCCAAGTGTTTTTCATGTTGCCTTTTGCTTCATTGAATCTATTCACATAATATGCAAGTTTTGCCTTTCTTATGATACTGGTAAGCATTGATGAGTACCTTTTAGCTACTTCCTTTGAAACTAGGCCAATCCTAACTTTCTTTTCATATTCATGTTTCTTGTTGATTGAGTTGAGAATGCCATTTGTGAGCCATGGATTGTTTAATCTTTTGTCAGTTACTTGCTTTGTAAGAAGGGGACAATGAAGGTTGTAGAGGCTTAGAGTTTTGGAGAGGAAGAGGTTAGCTAATGAATTTATATCATGGGTATTATTGAATTCAGAATCCCAGTTAATATTGTGAAGTGCCTCTGTAAGATTGTCTAAAGCTGATTCACTGTGTAGCCTAAATGAAAATTTCTTGCTTTTTGGTGGTGTTATGTCCATGTTCGCTATGAGAAAGGTAGGATAGTGGTCAGTTGTTCTGTCGTAGATTATACCAGATACAAGGGGAGCTGTTATGTTTGTCCATATGTGGTCCAAGGTAGTGGCTGATGTTTGAGTGACTCGGGTAGGTTTGGTGATAGTGGGGATTAGCATACAGGAGTTCATGCTGTTAAGGAAATAGTCAACTTGAGAGCAGTTTTGTTGACCCAGGTCAATATTAAAGTCTCCTCCCAGAATGATGTGGTTTTTGTTGAGATTGTTGTTTATAATAAGATTCCTTAGGTTGTCTGAGAAAGAAGCTATGTTAGTATTAGGAAATCTATAGATGGCTCCAATAGTCAAAGAGGATTTAAGTGATTTAATTGTAAACTGAGCAAAAGTATATTCACAGTAGTCATCTCTGTCACTAATAACACTGTTGCAGATAAATGTATCTCGGTAATATATGGCTGTGCCACCACCTTTTTTATTAGGCCTACAGTTATGAATGGCTTTATAACCAGCTAAGTTGTAGAGTTGGGTATAGTCTTTATTTAGCCAAGTTTCTGTTAAAATAATGAACGATAGGTTAGTACCTAGTGCTGTGAGTAGTGCATTTAAATCGTCAAAATGTTTACCAAGTGATCTAACATTTTGGTTATAAACTGATAGACAGGTGCTATTTTGGAGTTTGTTTTTAGCCTGGTGTGCTGTGAAATACTTACAATAATGATGATCAATGTGCTGGTTGGTATAGATATGAGACAGAAGATTTTGATCAGGATCAATATCAGTGTGCATAGAGATGCAGAGGGATCACGATACAAGATACACGATAAAGCAAAACACAAGAATAAGAGCAGATACAATAAAATAGTAACAATTTAGAAGTAAAATAAAGATCCAATAGATAGCCAGGGAGGACACAGAAGTTACATAAAATAAAACACAAAAAAACAGTAGAGACTGACAATATAAATGTAAAATAAAAAATAATAAGAAAAATAATAATCATAAAAAAATGATCTTGAAGATAATTAGCTTAGTAATGGTTAATTAACAGGGTAATAAAAAGTCCTAGGTTTAGTGACAAGGGGATTAACTAAGAACAAATAATTAAGAGTATAAAACAGGCAAAGATGACAAACAAAAAATAAAGTAAAAATTAAAATAAAAATAAAAATAAACACCTTTGGAAAGGAAAGGCAGAGCTTAAGTACACTTTGGTTGTATGTGAGACTACAAATTATGTTCTGGTTATTCAGCTGATATCCCACAGTCATCCAGGAAAGAAGTGAGGTGTGCTTCAGTGGTTATGACATAAGTTTTTCCAGAGTCAGTCTTCCTAGCTATTATTTTACCATCGCGCACAAAACAATGTTTAATAGCAGTGGATCTATTGCGAATTCCACGTAGTTTAAATAAGAGATTTTGTCTGAATCTGGTAAGACATTCGTTCACATAAACCTTGGATTTCCTAGCGACTGCAGCAGTGATAAGGTCTGACTTGCGGGAGCAGCTATCCAACTTCACGCGTATCCTTCTGTTGTTTGCACCAGATGATTTGGTACCCACTCTATAAGCTGACTTAATGTCTCTTGCTTCGATTGAATAATTCAACTTAGTACGCAATTCCTGGATCACGATGGCAGTACAGTCTTCTCTGTCAGTTTCATGGGGAAAATCCTGTGATGAGATGATGACAGAATCAAGGAGCTTAAGTTGGTCTGATTCGTCTTGGGTTGCAGTTTGTTGCTGTTGTAGGGAGTTAAAGTGGTTCTCTAACTTTTGTAACATCTCTTCTTGCTTCTTAGAGGTTTCTGCTGGTTTAAAGTTAGTAACCGAGATCCGAAGAGAGCTTAATTCATGTTCGAGGTGGCCGACTCTGGCAGACAGATCTTGGTTAGCCTTGTGCATTGCCAAAGCATCACTCTGAAGCTTCATTATCAGGTCCGACTGCTCTCGGATTATAGACTTTTGGTCATCATGTATTTGAGTCAATAATCTGAGCCATGGATTATCAGCGGGACGCTTAAAGTCAGTACATGGGGAGGCAGCTCGTTTAAGTTGCTCCATATGGTTACATAACTGTTGTAAGGCTCGAGTCAGTGACGACGCTTCAATCAGCTGGGAAGGTTTGTTATTGTTGATGCAGGGAGGGTCGGTACTCCCCCCGGTAGCCCCTAAGGGGGAGACAGCCGCATTATTCCTGTTGCTAGCTTGGCTGGTTGGGTTCATCCTGATAGGTGTGCTATCATTCTTTACGGCCTTGCCGAGCT